CAGGGACTCCCAGTCTGAGTCCAGTCTGGCCCCAGGCACTTTCAGTCACTGCCTGGAGGAGGCCATTTGCCCCTGCATGGTCCCAGTTGCTCCCAGGATGATCCCACTATGAGTCCAGTCACCCCCGGTATGATCCCAGGAACTTGGAGACACTTCCAGTACGAATCCAGTTTGATCCCAGTCATCCCAGTATGGTTGCAGTGCCTCTCACATACTCCCAGTAATATTGCAGTCACTCCCAGGATGATCCCAGTATGAGTCCAGCAGGGGCCCAGCTGCTCCCACTCTGATCCCAGTTGCCCCCAGTGTGGTTGCTCCAGGATGGATCAGGAATGGGGACCCCTCTGTGACCCCCCCTTGTGTCACCCTGTTCTGGGGGAGCTTTGGGGGGACATCTGCACCCCAACACAGCATCCAACACATCCCAAAGTGTGCTGGGACCCCTTTGAACCTGGGAATTGTGGGGAACCATGGAAAACCCTTCTCAGAGAGAAAATTGGGTGACCTGAGCCCTGGATGCTTTTGGGAAAGAGCTCTAAACATTTCTTGAAGAATGGAGGGGGGTGACTTTTTTATTCTTGACCTTTCCAGTTCTCCATTTGGGGGCAGGATGTCCTCTGGGCCAGTGTTTTGTTCCCTTGGCAGTGAGTGCAGCCTCAGAGGGCTGAGCCCTCTCTGGCTGGGCTTGGCCTCTCCTGCAGAGACTCAGGCCTGGCTGGGCTGCCCCAGGCAGACGCTGCAGGAAGAAGAGCTCAGGCCGCCTGGCTCTGGTGTCCCTGGGGCTCAGCCTGTGCCCCATTGCTGGGCAGGGGCTGAGCCCCACCTCTGCCTCGGGGCCTTGGCCAAAGGGTTGGCAAGGAAGAGGCCCAGCAGCCTTGGGGCCTGCCCAGCTTTCCTCCTCCCTGGGGGCTCTCAGTCCTCCCCTGACACCGTGTGGGCCCAAGGCCTTGCTGGCTTCGGGCTCACGGCCCGCCGGCCCCATCCCAGCGGCCTGACCCCCCTCCTTCCCGTCTCTCCAGCCTCTCCTGCCTTTGCTGGCAAGGGGCCATCCAAGGAAAAGCCCGGTTCTCAGCAATGGCACCTGTGGCACGGCTGCAAGGCTCGAGTGGGCCAGGCAAGAGCAGGAGCAGCGAGAGCCTGAGGAGCCAGGAGATGCCCTGGCTGGGCATCGTGCTGCTGCGGGACGAGCTGACACCTCTGCACAGTCTCTGCCCGTCCCTGCCAGCCCACTTCTGCCCAGGCTCTGGGCACGGGGACGCAGCACTGACAGTTTTCAGCCCCCGCGCTGTTCCACAGAGGCTCTGATGTCACAAGGCCCTTGCCTGGCAGCCAGGAGATGGGCAAGGCAAGGCAAGGACGGAGCCTCGGAGCCACCAGCACGCTGTCCCCAAAGGCTGGGCTGGCACAGAAGCCCAGAGTCCCTGAGCTTGGCAGAGACTTTTGAGATCAGCCGGGGTCCAGCCTACGCCCCATCCCCAGCCTGTCAAGCAGACCACGGCACTCAGTGCCATGACCAGTCTTTGCTTAAACACCTCCAGGGACGCTGACTCCACCACCTCCCTGGGCAGCCCATTTCAATACCCAATCCCTGTTTCTCTCCAAAAAGTCCTGCTCCTGTCCCTGACAAACAGCCCCTGACAGGCAGGTCCTCGTGTCCTCTTGTCCTGTTGCCTGTTGCCTCGGAGAAGGGGCTGACCCCCACCTGGCTCCAGCCTCCTGTCAGGAAGTTGTGCACAGGGAGAAGGTCAGCCCCAAGCCTCCTCTTCTCCAGGTTGGAGAAGCCCAGCTCCCTCAGCTGCTCCTCACAGGCCATGCACTGCAGACCCTTGCCCAGCTCCATTGCCCTGCTCTCCACCCACTCCAGCCCCTCAAGGTTCTCCCTGAATTGAGGGGCCCAGAGCTGGACACAGCACTCCAGGGGTGGCCTCAGCAGTGCCCAGTCCAGCAGAAGAATCACTGCCCTGCTCCTGCTGCCACACTCTTGCTGATCCAGGCCAGCCTGCCCTTGGCCTTCTTGCCCACCCGGGCACCCGCTGGCTCAGGTTCAGCCTCTGTCCACCAGCACCCCCAGGGCCTCTCCCACGGGGACCCTTTGCAGCTCCTCTGCCCCCGGCCTGGAGCTGCAGGGGGTTCTTGTGGCCAGAGGCACCAAAGGCCCCAAAGGCACTCTTGAACCTCATGCCCATGGTCTCGACCCAGAGGTCCAGCCTGTCCAGGTCCCTCTGCACAGCCTTCCTGCCCTCCAGCACATCCACACTGCAAGCCAGCTTGGGGTCCTCTGCCAATTTGCTCATGGAAGACTCAATGCCCTCCTGCACATCCCCACCAAAAATAGGCAACAGGACTGGGCCTGTTACCCAACAAGTTCTAGTGCTTGGCAAAGGAGCCCACCCAGCAGTGGGGAGAAACTGCTGGCAGGAGATTGAATGGGGGCAATAGACAATGGATGATGGACAAGTTCTGGGCCATGGTCATTTGTTAGAAAAACAAAGTAAAAGTTTAAGGCCTGCCATACTTCAGTGGTCAGAGACCTGGCAGAGAAATCTCTTTTTGAGACCTGGACACCAAGAAGGCAGAATTTCTAAACCACAAAGACCCTTAGAGAAACCAGAGACGAAGACAAAACTAACACAGACAGTTACTGAGGCTCTCCCTATCTGGGGAAAAGACAAGAAAAGGACAAAAATTGTGGACTAAGTATCATGCAAAGTGAGAAATCAAGAGCCAATAGAAGAGAGAAGAAGAATTCCTGCAGAGAACTGGTAAGCCAAGGGACAGGAATTTCTTTGTTTGCTAAAATGTAAAAATAGTTAAAAGCTTTGAGAACTGCTGTACAGGTGTTAGAGAGCAATTGCTGTGTCCCTTCAGCGCTGAATGAAGTAGGGTCACCTCTGGAACCCAACCAACTGCTCAGAGATTTTATTCCCCGGCTTTCGCTGACAGTTTCTGGGGACCCAGATGAGACAAAGCAGCGCCGACAGGGCAGAGCAGAGGAATCGTTGGCCCTGCAGCGTGTACCAAAGGAGTTTTGGGGAGATCTTCCAGTTCCCTGGTCTGGAGAGTTCACCACGCCTTCTTTTCTGGGAAAAAGAACAAGCCATGAATTTTGGGGGCTTGATTTTAAGGCCTTTTGCCTGCACATAAGGCACAGCAATGGGAAGGACGCAGCGTGAGGCTGAGAGGTTTCTGTCCTGGTTTGTGGGCTTGGGTGAGATTGGGCCAGAATTACAGGACGCCTGTAAAATCTGGGCTTTGGGAAAGGTTGGGGAGGGTTGGGAAAGGTGTTCAAAGGGTGGTTTTGCCTGAGGTGTTAAACATGGGAGTGGGTCTGTCTTCCCAATTCCCAAGGGAAGAGATCCCAGAAAGCTCCCCTGCAGGTTGTGTTTTAGGGAACAGGAGAAGAGACCGAGGGTAAGGGGTTTCTTTCCTGGAGGGCAGGGCTGTCGTTCACTTGCAGGAGCCCTGTGCTGAAATTGCCAGTCTGACTGCCCAAACTGAACACAGCTGAAGATTCCTGCCAGACAAAAAGGGCCAGCACAGAAAGCTCTTGCTGCCCATGGAGTGCCCAGGGTGGCCCCCCAACTGCATCTGAAACCCAAAGGTTCCAGGCTTTCTTTCCTGGGGGAAAGGCCGTGACATCCCAAAGAGTCCCGTGGCAGACAGGTGGGGCTGCACTGTGGGGGTGTGAGGTGTTGGTTCTTTGGTTTCCAGGGGCTATTCCAGAATGGAGAGGACAGGCTGTGACATCACAAAGGGGCCCATGGCACAGGGGTTGGGCTGCACTGGGGGCTGTGAGACATTGGTGTTTTGGTTTCCAGCAGCCATTCTGGAATGGAGGGGATAGGCCGTGACATCACAAGAGGGCCCATGGCACAAAGGTGGGGCTTCACTCTGGGGTTGTAGGGCGTTGGTTCTTTGGTTGCCAGGGCCCATTCTGGAATGGAGAGGACAGGCTGTGACACCACAAAGGAGCCCTTGGCACACGGATGGGGTTGAACTGTCACATGGTGGGGGCTTGGTTCTTTGGTTTCCAGAGGCCATTCCAGAATGGGGGCCAAAGGTGGTTTTGCAGAATAAAAGGTCGAAAACGGAAATTCCGCCTCAGAATTCCCACCCGTGGCTCCTGCTCGGAGTTGGCACCTGCTCCTGAAAAAGTTTTGGGGGGGTTCCCCTCGTTATTTTAGGGGTTTGGTGCCCCAACTGAGCGTTGTTCTGTCACCACCGCTCGCAGTGCTGAAAGGTTATTTTGCAGAATAAAAGGTCAAAAATGGAGATCTCACCCAAAACTGAGGTTGTTTTGGTCAGCCAGGTCCTGCCTGGAGTCTGCACCCACTCCCCTGAGGATTTTGGGGGGGTTCTCCCCATTGTTTGGGGTATATTAAATTAGTCATCAATTCACCCCAAATGGTGGGTTTGGGATATAAAAATCAGTTAATAACACAATGATTAGCACACAGGTATTAGTTCACAATTAATAATTGGTGGTTTGGGGGCATCACAAATCATTGACAATAGACCCAAACTGTTTGTTTTTTTGTGTATAACAAAGCAACGATTTTAAAAAGCAGCTTTCAAGCTTCAGTTTTATAAACACTTGCTTTTTATTAATGCGAAACGTTGCAAAACCGGCCCCAAAATACGCCTTTTTCCACTTAAAACGGGCACCCCCGACCCCGCTCTCGCAGTCCTCAACCACGTCCGCCCCGCGCCTTTCCCGCGCTGCCCGCGGGGGGGCGCAGTTCCCAAGCAGGTCCGCTCTGAGGTCAGGGAAAGGGAGGGGGCGGAGCGTGGGGAGGAGCGGCCAGTTGGAGTGAGGGGGCGTGGTTTAATCAGCCAATCAGCACGCGCCGATGGTGAGAAGAGCGGGAGTGATGCGGAAGTACCAGGAGGGTGAGAACAGGCAATAAAAGGCTCCTTTCTCACCCCAAAACCGCCCCCAAACCGTGGCCACCGCAGAAAAAGCTTGAAATAAGGCTGAAAACAGTGTGGAAAAAGGCTGATTTACCCCCCACTGAAATGGAGGGCCAAGAGAAGCACCGGCCTGAGCTCCGCCTATTCTCCACCTATTATTAATATGGCTACATAAATGTTGTCCTCATATAAATATGGCTACATAAATGTTGTACTCATATAAATATGGCTACATAAATGTCGTACTCATATAAATATGGCTACATAAATGTCGTACTCATATAAATATGGCTACATAAATGTCATACTCATATAAATATGGCTACACAAATGTCGTACTCATATAAAAATGCGTTTAAGGCAAATTGTATAAATACCAGTTGCATTTGTGCGAACCTTTTGAGCAAGTTTTCTGTGGTGCAAACCACACTTCTGCTGCTCAAAAGGTCCAAAGGATGGGGGATAGCATCAGTTCCTTGTACCTGATTTTTTGGATTCACCCTGAAAATTTCAGTTGCAGTGCTGGGGTGAAGCTCCCCCATCTGGGCAGAGATTTAGGTTGAAAGTCCTGGTTTGGAGTCTCTTAATTTCCCCTCCCACAGGACGAAGTTGTCAGGGCGGCTGCAGATCCAGTTCTTCTCCGTGTGGCACAGGGACGAGCTGATCCTGCCCTGGTTCAGGTACCCACAGGGCCCCCCACCCCTCACCTCAAACCTGCAAATGCCAATGGGACCAGAGTGAGAAAGGGAAAAGAAAAAGAAGAAAACTCCCACCAAAAATTAAGAAGAGCTGGGATTTCCTCTCCGGCAGAGAAGGGCTTTGGCTGGGGGGGGTCTCTAATCCTCTGATCAGGGTTGGGGGGCAGCGACCTCGGCCCATCCCAAAACCCCCCATGGAAAGCCAGGAGCTGCCTGGACACGGGGCAGGAGAAGGTGCCCATCCCAGGATGGGGCATCCCAGACTCCAGGAAATCCCTGTGCCCACCCCGGGGCTCCAGCACGGACACAGGGACCCACCTGCCATTCAAGGCCGTGCCATTGATCCACTCCCAGCCGTTATCCCTCATTCCCAGCCCGATCCAGTGGTTTGCTTCGCCTTTATAGCGCAGAAGGAAGGCCTGGAAGGCAAAGAAACGTTGGCTTTGGCCAGTCTTGCCTTCCCCACCTCCTCTTTCCCTCCTGTGTCCACCCCCAGCCAGACCTGGGGCTTTTCCCAAGGGCTTGGCTCCCGGCTCCAGCACTGGCAGCACTTTGGGGCCAGCCTGGGGGGTTTGGGGCTGGTTTTATCCTCTTGGTTTCCCCGTGTTTCCCACCCTGGTGCTGCTGCAGAGGCTCAAGCCCAGTCCTCACCAGTTCATCCCAGTCCTCACCAGTTCCTCCCAGTCCTCACCAGTTCCTCCCTGGTGCTTATGGTGGCCAGGGAAGCTCCCAGGGCCTCACACCTTGCCCGGCCCGTGCTCCAGTTGCCCTCAGCCTCAGAAAAATGATAACATTTTCCTTGGAAACCAGGCCAGGTGTCTGGGCACACGTGGGAGAATTCCAGCTCAGGGAAAGGGGGTCTCACACTGAGAACTGAAACACAGAAAGTTGAGACAGACACGTGGGCAGCCCCGAAAAGCAGCAAAATGGGTTTGATTCCTTGGTTTATTCCAGGAGCTGGAAGAGGGAAACTGGGGATGATTCTCTTGGGAAAAGGTGTGACTGAGTGAGGAGCAGGTGCCTGGAGCAAAGTGCAAAGCTCCCACTTTGGGAGCCTCCCTTGATGCCAGGAAGGTCCTGGGATCCTCCCACCTCCCAAAACGGAGGCGCCTGGCCCGGATCCTCCCCGAGGAGGTGCCTGGGTGGGACTCACCAGTCAGTGCCACGACCAGGCTCAAGCTGAGGATCCCCAGGAACACACTCAGAGCGAGGAGAACACGCACCTTGGGGGATGTTCTCCGGTCTGACTCGGTTCTGTAGGACCCTGGGGCAGGAAAGAGCAGGGTGAGGATGGCCTGGCTCCTCTCCTCTCTGCTTTGCCCTCCTGTGCTGGACCCTCAGCCCATTCCCAGCCCCACCCAGGCCCATCCAGGGACCCCTCTGGGGGCTCAGGAGGGCAGGAGAGCTGAGGGGGGTCCTTCAGAGGCACCAACGTGTGTTTGAGGTCCTGTAGACTGATCTTCAGCCTCCAGAGGTGAATTCCACAGTGTGGAATTCAGTGCAGCTGTGCCTGGGCTGCTCCACACCCACCCAAAGGCTCCATCCCCACCCCACTGGTGCCGCCCCGGAGCGAGATGTTCTTCCCACACCCCGCCCTCCCTCGGAACGTTTGGGGTTTTCCCAGCATTACCACATTTGGACTCTTTCTCTGGATCACTGCAGGTATTCAGGGCTTCCTCCTGGCCTGAAGAATTTGGCTTTTGGGTTCCTTTCCCCATCCTTGCAGAGAAGCCTCAGGGCCCGGGGCTGACGTTCCCTGGGCTCTGTGGGGTGGATGCACTCGGCAGCCTGGGGTGGAAGGAGAGGAGAGGCTGAGGGGACCTGCAGGGAGCTGAGACCTCCTGGGCCACAGCCCAGCCAGCCACAACAGCCCCTGTGGGGTTGGCACTGGCTCTCAGCGTTGTCGTGTGCCCGGGCACCTCGGGCCGGGCTGGACCCCATCTGGGCGCGGCGTCAGCACCGGCCCGCGGGCGGGCCCCGATGCAACGCTCCGGGCGGGACCGGCGGGGAGGGGACCAACTTAAGAGGGACCCCCACCACCCCCCCCGATGCTAAGCAGAAAGAGAACCAGAAAGGAAAGAAAAAGACAAGTTTAAAGGCACTTGAACTATTAAATAAATAAGTCATTGAGATCTCACAGCTCAAAGGCAGCTGAAGTGTTTGCAGGGGACAGGAGCCCGTTCAGGGCTCGGAGCAGAGTTTGTGCTTTGGGGGCCATTTTGCAAAAACGCACAGGATGGAAAGTAGGTTGTAACAGTTCACAGCACCTGTTCTGCTCGGGTTTTCTGAGTTGAGCTTGTTTTGCTCACAGGAATCCCTGCTCTGGTTCCTCCCCCCGTGCCCACTGTTGCAGGAGCACGACCTGGTTCCCTGCACCCCAAACCAACAGAGGTAGCAGCTTTCGGTCCTCTTGGGTCTTGTGTAAATTACCAGCATCAAATGTACCAACAGGAACATGTCCTGATAAGACAGTAATATTTCATTGCAAGGTGAGCTCTGAAAGCTGCAAAGGGGCAGGTTGGTTTGTGGGTAAATGAATGCGAAAAAAAGCACAAAGCGATTCCCTCAGAGGGGATTTGCAGGAGGAAACTCAAGGAGTGCTCAGATAACAGCGTTTCCAGAGCAGTGAGAGGGTTAAATTGGCAGGAAAAAGGAACAAACACAGGATGAGCCAGAAGAGGGGGGTGCTCCAGCACCCTGGAGGTTTCCAAGTTCACAGGATAAAGGCCAGACCTTGACTAAGCTCTGAGCTGGAGCTGAGCCCGAAAGTGGGGGAGGGATCGTTACAGATGAAGGGCTTGTTATCTCACAAACTAAACTATCAGATGCCTGGACCTCCTTGGGATGGCAGAAGCCCCAGTGCACAAGTTCCGCCCCCTCATTTCAAGCCAAAATTTCAGTCCTACTTTCACTTCTGCCTCCCAGTGTGACTGAACAAATTCAACAAGTTCCCTTAAAAAGAGTCCCAAAGGTTCACCTTGTGAGACCCCCCCGGTGCAGCCCGAGCTCCTGCCCAGGTTCAATCCCTCCCAAGCCCACCGTGGTTTCCAGCTGGTTCGCTCCAGCTCCCCCCAAAATCACTGTTCATTCCACTCAACTGAAACAAATTAAAGTCCTGAAACAAATCAAATTCCTCTCTATCACAGCATTATTTACCTCTTTTCACCACGGTTTTCTCAATTCTCTTCCCAAGAAGCAACCCCTGTCAGCAATAAGGGGCTGAAGAAAACCTGAATAAAACCACTGCAGAAGCTCTTACAAGGCAGCCAAAAAGACAAACCAGCCCAACCCCGCAGCAGACACTCAAACCAACCCCATGGTAGCAAAAGCCTCACTAAACCCAGCTGTAAAACTGTGACTTTTGGGGTTTATTCCCCCCTTCCCTTCAACGTGCCACGTTTAATTAATCAGGTGGTCATTGCAGCCCCCCCAGAGACAAGACCCTGATGTGGGGGCTCAGCCCTGTCCCAGCCGTGGCTCACTGTGGGCAGGGAGCACCCACCACCCCGAGTTTGGCAGCCCAGGAGCTGCTCTGGAGTACTCACCTCGCAGGGCAGCTCTCGGAGACTGGGAGACCTTATGGTAGGGAAGGAGAGCCCCCAACAGCTGGAGTTGATTTTCGCTGTTCTCCAGCAGCTTCTCAGTGTCTCCTACTTGGCATCAGGAACCTTTGCTTCCCATTGGCTGCCGGGGGTTCTCTGACGCTTCCCATTGGCTGCCGGGGGTTCTCCCACGCTTCCCATTGGCTATTTTTCGATCCCCCCGCCCTGGCTCTGCCGTGTGGATGTGAAACGGGAATGTGTGACTCGCGGGTCTGGCTGCCTTCCCCACCGCCGCGGGCTTTATCTTTCCTCGCCGTTTTACTGTTTATTGCCTTCCCGGGCCGCGTGCCTCGACTAGCGCAGACAGCCTCACCCGTTCCCCTCCTTCATCCCGGCTCTCGGAGCCTTGGAGCTCCCGGGGGTGACGTGGGAGAGATTATGTGAGGGCGATTCTGTGAGGGAGATTCTGTGAGGGCAGTTCTGTGAGGGTGATTCCGTGAGGGAGACTGTGAGGGCAGTTCTGTGAGGGCGACTCTGAGAGGGCAACTCTGTGAGGGAGATTCTGTGAGGGAGATTCTGTGAGGGAGATTCTGTGAGGACAGTTCTGTGAGGGCAATTCTGTGAGGGCGACTCTGTTAGAATGTGTCTGTGAGAACTTTAATTTCTGCCTCACAATGTCGATTGTGCAACTTCAACAAATTCCCTTAAAAAGACCCCCGAATGTTCACGTTGCAGGAGCTCACTCGGGGCAGCCCGAGCTCCTGCCCAGGTTCAATCCCTCCCAAGCCCACCGTGGTTTCCAGTTGGTTCGCTCCAGCTCCCCCCAAAATCACTGTTCATTCCACTCAACTGAAACAAAATAAAGTCCCTTTTATATCATTATTTGCCTCTTTGCACCACGATTTGCTCAATTCTCTTCCCGAGAAGCAACTCTGTCAGCAACAAGGGGCTGAAAAAAATCCAAACAAAATCACTGGAGAAGCTCTTACAAGGCAGCAAAAATGACAAACCAGCACAACCCCACAGCAGACACTCAAACCTATCCCACAGCAGCAAAAGCCTCACTAAACCCAGCTGTAAAACTGTGACTTTTGGCGTTTATTCTCCCCTTCCCCTTCAACGTGCCACATTTAATTAATCAGGTGGTCATTGCAGCCCCCCCAGAGACAAGACCATGATGTGGGGGCTCAGCCCTGTCCCAGCCGTGGCTCACTGTGGGCAGGGAGCACCCACCACCCCGAGTTTGGCAGCCCAGGGGCTGCTCTGGAGTACTCACCTCGCAGGGCAGCTCTCGGAGACTGGGAGATCTCCCGGTAGGGTGTGGTTAGTCATAAACAAGGGCAAAAGGGATTTTGGAGCCGTTTTTGCCCCCCTTTTTGGAGGGAAACCGGATGCGTTTGTGCACCGTGGCCGGCAGGGGATGCGCATGAGCCAGGAATTCCCGCAGACATTCCCTTGGTCCTGTCCCGGCCCCGAGCGGCCCCCGCAGCCCCCGCGGGACCCCAAAAGCAACTGTGGGGGCAGTCTCAGAAACCAGGACTTGGCCCCTCAGGCGCTTGGAGCTGCACGAGGGGGGTAAAGGATCCCCCGGTGTCCCCCAGGAGCGACTCGGCCCCCCCCAGAATGGGGCTGTGTCCTGACTGATGGGGCTGAGGGGGACGAGGGGGTGTCAGACAAGAGGGGAAAAACCCCCCTAAATGACCGGGGGGTGTCAGCTCCTCCTGCCCTGCCTGGTTCTGACCCTGCCATAGCTGCAGCATTTCTGCCACCACCCCATCCCTGAGAGATGCTTTTTGGGGAAGCAACACCAAATATCACCTGTCACGTTTCAGCCTCACCCCCTAAAAACCTCAATCAGAGGCTTTTTGAGTTAATTTAATAAATTAATTTGATTAATTTAATAATTTTCCGCCTGTTCGGCCCAACCCTGCGCGTGTTCCTGCACCTCCAGGTGAGCCCCCCCCTCCTCCTCCTGGCTGGGGACACCCTAAACCCTTTCCCCAGGCAGAGGGGAGGCTGCAGAATACAGAGATATGTTTAAAAAAAAAAACCAAAGAAACATAAAAGGCCTGGTTGGTGCCATTTCCTGGGGCCGGACACGCGTTGGTCACGAGGTGAGAAGGTGTCCGAGGCTGGTGTCGCTCTCGGGACACGCCAACGACCTCCAGAGCCACCATGGCTGGGGAAATGGGTCATGCCAATCTAAGACATCCTGGGAATGAGCCTTCCCCGGCTGAGAAATGTCCTGGTGAGTGTATTTAGGGGGGAAAAAGGCTTATTTCAGGCCCTGGGAAGAGTTTTGGGTCCATTACCTTTGGGGTCCCTTCGCTTCTCCATCCCCATGTTCAGGTTTCCAAGCTCATGGGGTGGCCTTTGAAATGGGGTCTGGGCTTGTCTGGAGCAAGACAGGGACAGGAGAAGCTGGAAAATCTCCAGAACTGGAACAGTTTTGTTTCCCAGACCCTTCACTTGGTGGCCAAAAGGGGACCCCAGGAAGCCCCAGGGGAGCCACCACCCCTGGGAGGGCAGGGAAGGGGCCGAGCCCCGTCCAGACCCCGGAGGAGTCGAGGGCTGGAAGGACCCACAGCCACCAACTCCCAGCTGGAAACTGAGCCCGTTTGGGAGTTCCCAGGTCCTGCCCTCTGTCACTGGGTCCTCGAGGCTGCTCCCGAGGCTGCTGCACCCCCTGAGCCCCCCAGTCTCCCCGGGGGTGCTGCCCTGGCTTGAGCTCTGTCAGGGGGGATTTATGGCTTTGGAGGAAGCAAAGCAACCAGAAACTTCTGCTTGAACTCACAGCTCAGCACAGGGGTTTGGGGTTTTTTTGTGCTCTAAACCCCCAATCTTCTTCGTGTTTTTTTAAGCTTAAATGTGGTCTCTTCCAGCTCCTGCCCTGTGCCCGTGGTGGCACAGAGTCCTCCTCACAGCCGGGGCGCTGGGGCACCTCGTCCTGCTGGTGCTGGTGGTGCTCCGAAATGTGAGTGGTGAGTAACCAGCTCTTATCTCCATCTCACACCCCGGCGAGGAGAGGCCTGGGAGCGGAAATCTGGGTTAATTGCAGTGGTTCAGGCCCTGGAGGGGGGGTGCAGACACGAGAGCCAAGAGTAAAACCCCCTCTGGGCACACCTGGATCATCCCCACAAACGAGAGAGGAGGGCAAGACCAGACCCGTGGGCTTCGGGCCTAATTCATTAACTGTGGGGCAAAACCCGACCTGTCTCTGTGGGGTTTGTGGTTTGGCTTCAACTTCTCACTTTGCTGCCAGTTTTTCAGGGCTTTCTAGGTCTGAGTGACAGCAGAGTTGAGATCCAGGCCAGGAACCAGACGGAGCGATGCATCTTCCCATCCCTGGTGCGGTACTTCTGCCAGCCCCAGGGGCAGAGTCCCCCAGGTGAGCCCCCTTCCCACCTGGCTCTGCTGGGAGAGGCTCAGGTGGCACCTCGGGGGGCTCCTCCTGCGAGGAGACCCTGCACTGAGGGTTCTTTGGCAAAAAGGAGCATTTTCAAGGAAGAATTCCCTTTTCCATGCGATTTTTGGCAGTCCCACCTCCCCGGAGGAGCACGGTCAGCCCAAGGGGGGATGTTTCTCACCACCCTTCCTGCACCCCAACCACCCACTGTGCCCTTATGGTCACCCAACTTCTTCCTCCTCCTCTTCTTCCCCCTCCTCTCCCTCTTCCTCCTCCTCCTCTGTGGTGGCAGAGCAGAAAAACCACAACGCTGGGAAATAACTTGAGGGTTTGGTGCCTTTCATTTGGGGGGTCGGGGAAGACCTTGCTCACCTTTGGGGTGTCTCATTCGTGGCCTTTCCTCCTCTCCAGCCCCTGTTGGCTGCAAGTTGTGCCCCCAGGACTGGCAGCTCCATGGAGGGAGATGCTACTGGCTCTCCAAGGAATCGGGAAACTGGACTCGGGGCAGGAAAAGCTGCAAAGATCAGGGCTCTGAGCTGGTGGTGCTCAAGAACGAGACAGAAATGGTAAACAGGGAGGAAAAGGCTTGAGTTTTTAGAGGGGGAGCAGGGGAGCAAAAGGCTCCCAGCAGCAGGAGGGTTTGGGGTTCAGAGCATGGGGACGCTCGTGTCCCATGGATTTGGGGGGTCAGGTTTGTGCTGTGGCTTTGCACCCCACGGAACTCCCCACAGAGAGATTTTTTTGGAGCAACTGGTCCCTTCCACATCCCAGGAGAACGTCGAGAGTGTCACAGGCAGGATCTCGCAGTCGGTGTGGGTCGGGTTGAGGTCACGGCAGAAGGAGTGGACGTGGGTGGATGACACCCCCTATGACCCCCACAGGTGAGTGTCCGAGGTCTGGGGGGGTAAAAAAGCAGCTTTGGTCCATTTGAGACCCCGATCCATGTCCACACATCGCTGGGGTCCATGCAAGGGTCTCTTATTCCTCTGGCAACACTCTGCAGACCAAGAGTCTGTGTCATGGGGCACATTGGGGTCATGGGGCACATTGAGGTTGGTTATGGGGCACATTGAGGTTGGTTATGGGGCACGTTGGGGTTGATTATGGGGCACATTGGGGTCATGGGGCATATTGGGATTGGTTATGGGGCACATTGGGGTCATGGGGCATGTTGGGGTCGGTTATGGGGCATATTGGGGTTGGTTATGGGGCACACTGGAGTCATGGGACACTTTGCTCCTCTCAGCCAATAAACCCTTCATTGTGCAGGTTTGGGGTCCTGCAGGAGCCAGACAAAGGCTTCTGTGGGACCCTGAAAGGCAAGAGCTTGGAGGTTGATGGCTGTGACAGTGACCACAAGTGGGTTTGCCAAAAAGCCCCTTTCCAGCTCTCCTCGCCCACGGTTGGGAAGTTGGGATGATGCCTCACCTGACACACTCGGGCAATGGACCCCGTGCGGTACAAAAAAAAAATTTATTACAATTTTTTCATGGTTTATCCACCTCATTACATCAGCAGTAAATTACTATTAGTGACTTTTCTCTATATCTGCTCTTTAATTAAGCATTTACAGAGCATGAGAAAAATACTCCCAAGCAATTTCACACACATGCGGATTTATCACCACATCTGCATTTATCTTTTCAAGTTCCCCATGACTTCCTTCCAGACTCATATAATCTCAGTCCCTACACTTAAGCGTTATTTTTATGCTTTTACATTACTATAGATAACAAAAAGCGGCTCCATCCCTGCTTTCCTTTGCAATCAAACTCTCCTAAAATAAACACACATATTCCAACACCCGTCCCTTCGGTGCCTTCACTCTAAACCCACCTCACGGGAGCCAAGAGTGATGGGTCAAAGAGCCATTTAGCCCCGTCCTCAATGGGTGTCACCGATGGGTGGAACTGGCGGTTCTGTGAGGGAGATTCTGTGAGGGCACTTCTGTGAGGGCAGTTCTGTGAGGGCAGTTCTGAGGGTGACTCTGTGAGGGCACTTCTGTGAGGGTGATTCTGTGAGGGCAACTCTGTGAGGGCAGTTCTGTGAGGGCAGTTCTGTGAGGGCACTTCTGTGAGGGCACTTCTGTGAGGGCAGTTCTGTGAGGGCAGTTCTGAGGGTGACTCTGTGAGGGCAGTTCTGTGAGGGAGATTCTGTGAGGGCAACTCTGTGAGGGCAGTTCTGTGAGGGCAGTTCTGTGAGGGCAGTTCTGTGAGGACAGTTCTGAGGGTGACTCTGTGAGGGCAGTTCTGTGAGGGCAGTTCTGTGAGGGCAGTTCTGTGAGGGCGACTCTGTGAGGGCAGTTCTGTGAAGGCGACTCTGTGAGGGCAGTTCTGTGAGGGCGACTCTGTGAGGGCAGTTCTGTGAGGGCGACTCTGTGAGGGCGACTCTGTGAGGGCAGTTCTGAGGGTGACTCTGTGAGGGCAGTTCTGTGAGGGCAGTTCTGTGAGGGCAGTTCTGTGAGGGTGACTCTGAGGGTGATTCTGTGAGGGCAGTTCTGTGAGGGCGACTCTGTGAATGTGTTCCGCCATCTTGGCTCCCTCAGGGTGAATGGGGCAATCCTGGCACCCGCAGTCAATCCCTCAGGTCTTTCCCCGCCTGCACGGGGCGAGCGGCCCCCGCAGCTCCCGCACTGACCAGGACATGAGGGACAGCGGTGGGGTCTTACAAACTTTAATATAAATGTAAAAAAAGGAGAAGAAGAGAGAAGTAGAGCAGCAGCACCGATACAGTAGGCTAAGGCCTGATATGGTTTAAAGCTGGCTCCCTGCCAAGTCTCCAAACCTTACCACCAGAAGTCCCCCCCCCAAACCTCAGGGAGAAGAGGGAGGAAAAAAAACTAAGAAAACCCGAAACGAGAGAGAAACAACCAAAGTGAGATATATAAATATATTTACACTTATATACAATTAAAAATATACAATTTCACAAGGGAAAAGGGAAGGGGGAAGGGAAAGGGAACAAAACTAAACTAAAATATATATATATCCCAATTAGTGACCCAATATCTAACAACTAAAAAGTTAGCAAAGAAAATAGCTCACTACTCTCCTGGGACAACTGAGAGTCGCTCCGGAACGATCGCCGGCAACCTCCGCCTCCCAAGGTCGGCAAGGCCTAACCAGGCCTCGCTCCCCAACACGGCAGACCCAACAGCAGGGAACCTGCACCTCCAAGCCGCCGGAAGGAAAAAGAGCGAAGGCCTCTCCTCCTTTCTTCTTATAGTCTGGCTTAGGTAAAAATCGTAGGGAATACTGGGTAAATCTGGACCCTTCCTTGGTTACAAACTGGTCACCAAGGAAGGCCTGGCCCAAACCACCACAGGCCACAATCAGGACATTGTACATTCACATTCATTGATTCAAGTAGCGTTCAGGAATGGAAAAATACTTCACACGCGCACATTCAAGCACTATAGTGCTTGAATGCAGTGCATGTAGTGTTATGTATGTAAACTGTTATAGAGTATAAATATAAAGTAAATATAAATAGACAATGAGAAAGACTTCTGGAGAAAGAAACCCCTAGTCCACGAAGGCACATGTCCACTTCCACATCATGTCCCTGCAGGTTCACTTCCTTGAGATCAGCTACTGAGGTGACAATGACAAAAGGCACCAAGGTTCCTGAGGTTGTGCTGAGATGTGTCACAAAGTAAACAATCACCCGCAGAAGGACATCCCTGGGCTAGTGGAAGAAGGAAAGCTGTGTCTTCAGGATGGAGAAGGTCCTTTCTCCCTCACTTCTAGTACAGGTGAGGTTGGGGTTTGCTGCAGAGATACGCCCGCTCTGTTGAACAGTCCTCACTCCTGAGTTTATGGTCCGCCAGGTACACACACTCTGAATTGCCAAGGACCTCCAGCCTGCAATGAGGAGCAGAGACAGCGCTGTTACAGGGCAGGGCTGTTAACAGGACAGGTCGTCTCTGCCCATTCCCCCCAGCAGATGAGGAGACAAGCGCTGCCCAGGAGGGACAGTCCCAGCAGCCTCATCCCCCCCATCCCCTGCCCGTCCCCCCGGGACTCACGAGGAGTTGTAGCTGCTGCCGTCCACCCACTGAAACCTCTCGCCCCGTCTCCGCAGCCCGAGCCAGTAATCCAGGTTGCCATTGAGGCGGAAGACGTGGTCCTGAGAGGGAGAGAGGAGGTGGTCCTGGGAGGGAGAGAGGAGCGGGCAGTGAGAGCTGCCCCGGGCCAGGAACCCCCCTCAGCCTCCCCTCTGCCACCCACACACCCCCCAGAGCCCCTCACTCACCATTTCCTTGTCACTGAGCACGGCCAGGGAGGCCCCGAGCTTGGAGCACTGATTCTGAGCCTCGTCCCAAGTCCTCTCACCCTTCAAGAGGTAGTAACAGACGCTGTTGTACCTGATCCCAGGCCTCAAGAGAAGGCACAAAGCATGGATCCTTAGGTGTAACTGGAATCTCTCCATGACTTTTTCCTGGAGAGAGAAAAGGAGAACGTCTGAGGATTCCCCTCCACAGGGAGCAGGGAGCCCAGTCCTGTGCCCAGAGCTGCCTCTGTGCTGAGGCAGCTGCTCCTTCCTTACCTGACAGCACAGCCACGGCCACCACCAAAGCCACATTCAGAAGCACAGACAACACCAGGAATGCAGTCAGCACTCGGTGGGATGTGAACCAATTGACTAGAGCTGGAAAGAGCCACTGGCTGTGAGGACGGAGCTGTCCTGAGCAGGCCCAGCCCTCACATCCCCCCCAGCCAACACCAGAGCAGCCAGAAGTGTCGGCACCAGCCACTGACGGGGCCGAGAGGCCTCTTCCATGCACCTGGAGCAGCCTCACACTTGCCAGCCCCATCCTGGTGGGGCAACACTGTCCCCTCTCTACAGGACACAGGTGGCCCTGCACTCACCCTGACATTTCCCGAGGATCATTTTGTGTATATTCCTTTTTTCTGTTCTGTCCCGGAGACTCAGGGATGCCTCTGCATTCCTACCATTCCAGTTGCTTCCACTCTCCATATCTTGAATCACTGCAAAGTTAGAAGAGGGACAAGTTGCAACTTGAACCTGAGGCATCGCTGGGGGTGAAAAAAACCCTCTTTGAGCGCAGATTTAACAGGAGCACTGTGTCAGACTGTAGAGAATACATCGAGAACAGTCCAGAGAGGGGGATTGTGCCCAGGGGCTCCTGCCCGGCCAGTTCGGAGCCCAGGGACACTGAGCGCTGACAATGAGTCACTGCAGGCCAACTATGCCAAGGACTGGAAAGAAAAGCAGCAGCGCGGTGGCTCCAGCCACGGGAGGGCAGGATCGGATCTGTCATTCAATCCAAGAATGGTTTGGGATGGGAGGGACCTTCAAGCCCATCCCATCCCCCCGCTGCCCCGGACACCTCGCAGCAGCCCCGGTGGCTCCAAGCCCGGTCCCACCTGGCCGGGAACACTCCCGGGGACGGGGCAGCCAACTCTGTCCGACCGGGAGGCACCGGGACGATCCCCGACGGGGGCGCACGGTTGGGTACAGGGACAGACCCGCCGGCCCGATCGGTGGCTCCCCCCGCTCCCCTCTCCCCGACCCCGCGGCCGATGCGGCGCGATGAGCGATCGGGCTGCGCGGGGCCGGCGCTGAGACCCGGTGAGAGCCACGGGGGGCGGCCTCTCGAAACACTTCACCCCCGGCGCCCGCCAGAGCCCGCTCCCAGCACCGCCGACATCCTCTACCCAAGGCAGGGCGAACCCTCCAGACCCCACTTTTCGCCCCCTCCCGCTCTCCGAGCCCCGGCAGCACCGAGCGGATCCCACCTGCGCCTGGACAACACCTCGTGGCGGGAGAGGGCTGTCCCGCCCTCCGCCGGCGTGGGCGGCCGAGCCCGCTCCCAGCACCGCCGACATCCTCCACCCAGGGCAGGGCGAACCCTCCAGATCCCCCTTTTCGCCCCCTCCCGCTCCCCGAGCCCCGGCAGGACCGAGCGCATCCCACCTGCGCCTGGGCCGCCCGCGCCCCGCGCCCTTCCCGCCCGGCTCCGCCTCCGCCGGCGGTTTCGCCTCTACCTCCGCCGGTGGGTCGCTCCACAGGGGGAACACCGGAGAGGCGGGGGGACGAGGAGGAACACGGGGACACGGGGGTGACCCAGGGATGCGGCGCGATGAGCGATCGGGCTGCGCGGGGCCGGCGCTGAAGCTGCAGCGAGAGCCACCGGGGGCCACCGATCGAAACACTTCACCCCCAGTGCCCGCCAGAGCCCCCTCCCAGCACCGCCGACATCCACCACCCAGGGCAGGGCGAACCCTCCAGACCTCCCTTTTCGCCCCCTCCTGCTCCCCGAGCCCCGGCGCTCCCATCCGCACCCGGAACACGCGCTCGCCGCCGCCGCCTCGATTTCTTGGCCACCGGAGCATTTTATTCTGACGGGCCCGTGACGGCGCCGAGGAAGGCGGGGACGAGGAAGAGGAGAGGTTGCACTGCGCTGACCGCCCTCACAGCCGGGCACCTCCAGCGGGAAACGGTGCAGGAAAAGGGCAAGAGAAACACCCCTTTGTCTCCTTTGCGGCAGGACTGGGACACTTTTTGCTCCTCTCAGCCAATAAACCCTTTGTCGTGCAGGTTTGGGGACCTGCCGGAGCTGGATGAAGGGTGTGGGACCCTGAAAGGCAACCGCTTGGATCTTGATATCTGTGTCGGTGACCACAAGTTGGTTTGCCAAAAAGCCCCTTTCCAGCTCTCCTCGCCCATGGTTGGGAAGCTGGATGATGCCTCCACCTGACACACTCGGGCATGGACCTCGTGTGGTACAAAAAAAAATGTTATTACAATTTTTTCATGGTTTATCCACCTCATTACATCAGCAGTAAATTCCTGTTAGTGACTTTTCTCTATATCTACTTTTTAATTAAGCATTTACAGAGCAGGAGAAAAATACTCCCAAACAATTTCACACACACATGGATACATCTCACCATGTCTGCATTAAAGTTGCTGAGCTCCCCTTGAGATTCTCTCAGGGTCATATAATGTTGGTTCCTGATACTTAAGAGTTATTTTTATGCTTTTATATTACTATAGATAATAATAAGCCAAGCGGCTCCATCCCTGCTTTCCTGTGCAACCCTGTCCAGGCCATGGGCTGCAGCTTTTCCAGGAGTGTGCCCTGGGAGACAGTGTCCAAGGCTTTGCTGGAGGACCTTTCAAGGTCCCTCTGGATGCCAACCCCAGGGAAGGGCTGGAGAGGTGCCAGGGCAGGGTCAGGTTGGATCCCAGGAAAAGGTTCTTCCCCCAGAGGCTGGTTGGGCACTGCCCAGACTCCCCAGGGCAGTGGGCACAGCCCCAAGGCTGCCAGAGCTCCAGGAGGGTTTGGATGATCCTCTGGGGCACAGGGGGTGACTCCTGGGGATGGGCCTGGGCAGGGCTGAGGGTTGGACTTGATGATCCTTGTGAGGTGCTTTCCAATACAAGATATTTTTGAGATATTCAGTGAAAATTTCCCAACCAGACAACTGAGAAGTTCCCTCAGCAGTTCCAGTTGCAGTGCTGGGGTGAAGCTCCCTCATCTGGTTGGAGATCTAGGGTGAAACTCTGTTTTGGGGTCTCTTAATTTCCCCTTCCACAGGACATAGTCATTGGGGCGGCTGCAGATCCAGTTCTTCTCCGTGTGGCACAGGGACGAGCTGATCCACCCATAGTTCAGGTACCCACAGGGTCCTCCACCCCTCACCTCAAACCTGCAATGCCAACGGGACCAGAGTGAGAAAAAGGGAGGAAAGGAAGAAAACTACCTCCAAAAATTAAGAAGAGTTGGGATTTCCTCTCCGGCAGAGAAGGGCTTGGGCTGGGGGGGGTCTCTAATCCTCTGATCAGGGTTGGGGGGCAGCGACCTCGGCCCATCCCAAAACCCCCCATGGAAAGCCAGGAGCTGCCTGGACACGGGGCAGGAGAAGGTGCCCATCCCAGGATGGGGCATCCCAGACTCCAGGAAATCCCTGGGGCCCACCCCGGGGCTCCAGCACGGACACAGGGACCCACCTGCCGTTCAAGGCCGTGCCATTGATCCACTCCCAGCCGTTATCCCTCATTCCCAGCCCGATCCAGTGGTTTGCTTCGCCTTTATAGCGCAGAAGGAAGGCCTGGAAGGCAAAGAAACGTTGGCTTTGGCCAGTCTTGCCTTCCCCACCTCCTCTTTCCCTCCTGTGTCCACCCCCAGCCAGACCTGGGGCTTTTCCCAAGGGCTTGGCTCCCGGCTCCAGCACTGGCAGCACTTTGGGGCCAGCCTGGGGGGTTTGGGGCTGGTTTTATCCTCTTGGTTTCCCCGTGTTTCCCACCCCGGTGCTGCTGCAGAGGCTCAAGCCCAATCCTCACCAGTTCATCCCAGTCCTCACCAGTTCCTCCCAGTCCTCACCAGTTCCTCCCTGGTGCTTATGGTGGCCAGTGAAGCTCCCAGGGCCTCACACCTTGCCCGACCCGTGCTCCAGTTGCCCTCAGCCTCAGAAAAATAATAACATTTTCCTTGGAAACCAGGCCAGGTGTCTGGGCACACGTGGGAGAATTCCAGCTCAGAGAACTGGCATCTCACACTGAGAACTGAAACACAGAAAGCTGAGTCAGACACGTGGGCAGCCCTGAAAAGCAGCAAAATGGGATTGATTCCTTGTTGGTTTTTTTTTTTTCTAGCAAAGGAGATTGGGGGATGATTGTCTTGGGAAAAGGAATGTTGTGACCAAGCGAGGAGCAGGTGCCTGGACCAAAGAGCAGGAAAAAAGGGAGTCACCCACTTTGGGAGCCTCCCTTGATGCCAGGAAGGTCCTGGAATCCTCCCCGTGAGGGTGCCTGGGTGGGACTCACCAGTCAGTGCCATGAGCAGGCTGAAGGTGAGGATCCCCAGGGACACACTCAGAGCGAGAACAGGCACCTTGGGGGATGTTCTCCAGTCTGACTCGGTTCTGTAGGACCCTGGGGCAGGAAAGAGCAGGGTGAGGATGGCCTGGCTCCTCTCCCCTCTGCTTTGCCCTCCTGTGCTGGACCCTCAGTCCATCCCCAACCCCACCCAGGCCCATCCAGGGACACCTCTGGGGGCTCAGGAGTCCTTCAAAGCCACTGATGTGTTTGAGGCCCTGGAGACGGATCTTCAGCCTCCAGAGGTGAATTCCACAGCATGGAATTCAGTGCAGCTGTGCCTGGGCTGCTCCACACCCACCCAAAGGCTCCATCCCCATCCCACTGGTGCCGCCCCGGAGCGAGATGTTCTTCCCACACCCCGCCCTCCCTCGGAAAGTTTGGGGTTTTCCCAGCATTACCACATTTGGACTCTTTCTCTGGATCACTGCAGGTTTTCAGGGCTTCCTCCTGGCTTGAAGAATTTGGCTTTTGGGTTCCTTTCCCCATCCTTGCAGAGAAGCCTCAGGGCCCAGGGCTGACGTTCCCTGGGCTCTGTGGGGTGGATGCACTCGGCAGCCTGGGGTGGAAGGAGAGGAGAGGCTGAGGGGACCTGCAGGCAGCTGAGACCCCCTGGGCCACAGCCCAGCCAGCCAGGACAGCCCTTGTGGGGTTGGCACTGGCTCTCAGCGTTGTCGTAGTGCCAAGGGGCACCATCTGGCAGGGCTGAACCCACATCTGGGAGAGGAGGCAGCACAGGACAGAGGGAGGGGAAAAGATAAGGGAGGGAAAGAGAGGGGAGGGACAAAGATTAAGGAGGAAAAAACAACTTCAAACAAATTAAGCAGAAAGGAAAGAGAAAGACAAGTTTAAAAACACTTTTTTAAATAAATAAGTCATTGAGAGCTCAAAGCTCAAAGGCAGCTGAAGTGTTTGCAGGGGACAGGAGCCTGTTCAGGGCTCAGAAGAGGCACCAAGGGCTCGGAGCAGAGTTTGTGCTTTGGGGGCCCTTTTGCAAAAACACACAGGACTGAAAATAGCCTGTAACAGTTCACAGCATCTCTTCTTCTCGGGTTTTCTGTTTGTGGTTCCCCACGAGCTTGTTTTGCTCACAGGAAACCCCGCTCTGGTTCCCCCTCCCCCGTGCCCACTGTTGCAGGAGCACGACCTGGTTCCCTGCACCCCAAACCAACAGGGGCAGCAGCTTTTGTTCCTCTTGGGTCTTGTGTAAGTTATTACCAGCACCAAATGGACCAACAGAAGCTCAACAGGAACGTGTCCTGATGAAACAGCAATATTTCATTGCCAAAGTGAGCTCTGAAAGCTGCAAAGGTTTGATTGTGGGTAAACAAACATGAAAAAAGCACAAAGCGATTCCCTCAGAGGGGGTTTGCAGGAGGAAGCTCAAGGAGTGCTCAGATAACAGCGTTTCCAGAGCCCTGAGAGGGTTAAATTGATAGGAGAAACAAACACAGGATGGGCCAGAAGAGGGGGGTGCTTCCTCATCCGGGGGGTTTCTGAAGTGCAACAGGATAAAGGGCAGACCTTGCCCAAGCTCTGAGCTGGAGCTGAGCCCGAAAGTAGGGGAGGGATCATTACAGATGAAGGGCTTGTTATTTTATAAACGAAACTATCAGGTGCCTGGACCTGCTTGATATGGCAGAAGTTTCAGTGCACAAGTTCCTTCCCCTCATTTCAAGCCACAATTTCAGTCCTACTTTAATTTCTGCCTCGCAGTGTGACTGAACAAATTCAACCAATTCCCTTAAAAAGACCCCCGAAGGTTCACCTTGTAAGACCCCTCCTGGGGCAGCCCGAGCTCCTGCCCAGGTTTAATCCCTCCCAAACCCAATTCTGAGCCAGAAACCAGTTCCCTGGTGAAGGTTTTAACATTTGCAAAACTGAAGTATCAATTTGAATCTAAAAGAGACCCAGTGCAGTTACTGATTCACCCACTCCCACTCTCATTTTTGCTCCTTTATGATGACTAATTTCTGCCTCCCAGTGTGACTGTACAAATTCAACAAATTCCCCTAAAAGGACCCCCG